CTCGCACGGACCCTGTGCAAGATCAAGGAGGACGAGGAGCAGGTCATATTGGTCGCCCCATACTGGCCCACCAAGACCTGGTTCTCCGAACTGATACTCCTCGCGACAGCACCTCCTTGGCCAATTCCTCTGAGGAAGGACCTCCTTTCTCAGAGACGGGGCACCCTATGGCACCCTCGTCCCGATCTTTGGAGACTCCACGTGTGGCTCCTGGACGGGACGAGGCAGGTTTGAGTACCCTGCCACCTGCGGTGGCGGCTACCATCACTTCCGCTAGAGCGTTGTCCACGAGACACGTCTACGCGTTGAAGTGGAACCTCTTCGTCAACTGGTGCTCTTCTCGGCGAGAAGACCCCAGGAGATGCTCGATCGGTGTCGTGCTTTCCTTTCTGCAAGACGGGTTGGAGCGAAGGCTGTCTCCCTCCACCCTGTAGGTGTATGTGGCCGCTATCGCCGCATATCACGATGCAGTTGAAGGTAAGTCTCTGGGGTAGCACGACCTGATCATCAGGTTCCTGAGAGGAGTGAGGAGACTGAATCCTCCTCGCCCTCCTCTCGTACCCTCTTGGGACCTCTCAGTGGTCTTATATGCCCTGCAGAGGGCTCCCTTTGAGCCTCTGTAATCAGTGGAGATTAAGTTCCTGTCAATGAAGACAGCGCTCCTGGTTGCACTGGCCTCCATCAAGAGGGTGGAGGACCTGCACGCATTCTCTGTTGACGAAGCGTGCCTGGAATTTGGGCCGGCCTGCTCTCACGTGATCCTGAGACCCCGGCCTGGATATGTGCCCAAGGTTCCCACCACTCCCTTCCGGGACCAGGTGGTGAACCTGCAAGCGCTGCCCCTGGAGGAGGCAGACCCAGCCTTGGCACTGCTCTGTCCAGTACGCGCCCTCCGTGCTTACGTAGACAGGACGCAGTGTTTCAGGACCTCAGACCAGCTCTTTGTCTGTTATGGTGGGAAGCTGAAGGGAAAGGCTCTCTCCAAGCAAAGGTTATCCCACTGGATAGTGGACGCCATTGCTTTGGCAAACCAGCAGCAAGGTCGACCGTGCCCCCTTGGTGTGACCGCCCACTCCACCCGGAGTGTGGCGTCCTCTTGGGCTTTAGCGCGTGGCGCCTCGCTAACAGACATCTGCAGAGCTGCAGGCTGGGCGACACCCAACACATTCGCCAGATTTTACAATCTCCGAGTGGAGCCAGTCTCCGCCCATGTACTGTCTTTTTCAAGCTAACATGGGAGCCGTTAGGTGTCTCGCTTGCTCGCCATTCCAATCCACGGACTGGATACTTGCGATATTTCCTCAGGTAGCCTTCCTCTCTGAAGCCCTGAGTTCCTCCAGCACTGTTGACGCTGGCGCCAGTGTCTATTGCCTGTGCGTCGGCTAGGTGCCTCCGTGTGCATGCTTCCTCCTCTGAGTAACCCCCACATGTGTATTTCCACTGTAAGCCTCTTTGAGCATGTGTCTTTCCCTCGGCAAGCCACCTTGCCACTCCTGGAGTTGAAAGTTGCCACCCCACGGGCTGGTCATTCCAGTGTTCCTCCATATGAAGCCCCCTCGGCCATATGTGTATTCTTAAGTCCTCCCTATGGGTAGGCATGCTGCGGCATATCTCCCCTGAGATATGCTTCCCAGTGTACCTTGGTATTCCTGTGTTAAGTAGGACTCCTTCGTCCGTGCCTATATCACGACAGGGAGGTCAGACTTCGCAGGGCACTGGAAGACAGCTGTGAAGGTGGCGTGATTACACGGGGACCCCCATTCTCCGTCATCCGACGTAACTCGGAGTGACTACGAAAGGGAACGTCTCGGTTACGGATGTAACCCTCGTTCCCTGAGTAGGGAACGGAGACGTTACGTCTCCCTGCCACTTCCGCTGTACCGCTGGGTAGACGCCTGAGTTCAGTCTCGGCTCCTCAGCGAAGACATGATCTGCTGTTGCAGGTGTCTCTCCTTAAATACCCACGCGGTGGGGCGGAGATACATTATGCAAATTCCGCAGACCCATGGCATTTCATTGCCATAGGCTCGTTTTTTAATACTCGAAGATGATAGGCTTTCTGGCGAAACCCCCATTCTCCGTCATCCGACGTAACGTCTCCGTTCCCTACTCAGGGAACGAGGGTTACACCCGTAACCGAGACGTTTTACCAACCAAAAATACCCCAAAATAATGATACTTTTTGGCTGGTCATATGATTTTAGAAAACTTAAGAAAGTTCAAGAGTTATTACATCTATTTTAATAGAGGTGTTTTCTCTATATTTCCATTTGAAAGTAAGGGAGGGTGTAGACTTAAAGGGACACTCCACCCATTTGCATTAAGCTTTCCATTGTTAGAAACCCAGTCATACTATTGAATGGCCGTGCAACACTCTCTCATTTTCCCCTGAGACGAGAGAAATCCGCTATTTACCTTTTTCACTTCCTCCTACAATGATGCAAAAATCGTCATTTTACGTCATTGTAGGAGGAAGTGTAAGAGGGGGGGGGGTTGCCCATAGGGGGTTGGACCTAATGCGCTAACAGAGCTATCACAGATCAGTGGGTGGGACTTCACTTGCAGATACTGAAATCAATATCAGCCATCTTGTTTATAAGCTAAGCTAACAAGCGCTGTGGAGATAGGAAGTTACGACAGTGACGGAAGAAACTAAACATGATATGGAAGAAGAGGATTTTGAAATTCTGATGCTCGAATCCGCTGTTCGTGGCTATCTCTACGAGCCGCAATACAGTAAAGAGCAGCTGAGGCTGATGGAGGAACAGGAGGCGGCTGCCTGTCGCGGACGAGCTCGAGCTGGGCGGACTGCTGGTGCCTGTGCTCTCGCTGTGCTCTACGGACACAGATAGAGTCCGTCTGCTGCAGAGAATTTCAACGATGGCAATTTCTCCTGGACGAAATCTCTGAATCAGACGAGCACACGGACGTTTGTGTTGTGATGTGAACCATCCTAGTTTCGCACCGCATGTTCTGACTGAACATCCAGGTATCATGGAATAATTCACCATATAGAAAGAAATACAAACGAGGAGTAATTCGCTAATGAGTTTGCCAATGTAACGGGGTTCGTTGTTGTGGGAAGAAGGAGGCGGGAACCGGCGAACATTTAAACATTTTAATAGTAAAATAAACAAATACAAAACAAAAGTATAAGCCAGCTGGCCACACACAACAGAAACAAAACACAACATAAAATCAGGCCTGTTCCTTTTGTGCTTTCGCTCCTTCGTGAGAGATATGAGACCGCTGTGTCTCACAGGTGTCATTCATTATCACTCGCGCCGTCCTCTCACTTCACCTCGCCCTCGTCCTGCTCGCCACAGCCAACTAACTAGACATTTTGTGTGAAATGAATTTCAAACTCTTTTGGCAGCTAGCCTTGTAGACGAAAGGGTGATTTCTCTGATGTTTGCGCTGTTCTGGATTAGTGGGAGTGGCTTGCGGAGCTGTGCAATGTGGTGCATTGTGGGAGTTGTTGTCTTACATACAAATGCGCCCTAAAGTTATTTTCTGTCTTTTCTCGGTCAAGAGGGCACCAAATTCAAAATTTATTTTACATTTCGACTACATATATGACCCACTTTCAATAAAGATTAATGTTGAAATGGGTGGAGTGTCCCTTTAACACACAGTGGGGTCCAAAAGTCATAGACTCCTCTTCTTCTTCATCATCCTAGCGTCATAGACTACTAGTGAATTATTAAAAATGATCTGATCTTACCATCATAACTTGGGTGAAAATTTAAATAGGAAAACTCTCATGAATTTCATAATTTCTTTTTATTTGGTTGCTCTGCTTTGACAATGTTTTGTACAAAAAAGAATTTGCTTATACAATTATCCAAGAATCCAAAATTCTCATTCATTTTGTCAGGTTTCTTTGTTTTGAAATGGTCAATTTTAGTTTTCAAATATTTATTTCAAGGTTTAAATAGGTTTTGAAACATTTTTATGTGGTCTCAGACATTTGGACCCCATTGCATAACCACTGAGACAGCAGAGGAAATGGATGAACAGTGGGAGAGGCATTAATTTCATTTTTCAAAGGTGACTGACAGGCTGCATTGTTTCATTCCTTGTTTTACTTATTTTACCACCTTACTGTGTGCATGCATTCCTGCCCTTGCCCTTGGGCTCCTAAAATAGTTTCACAAAAGTGGTTCACTGGTTCAAGGTTCAGTTGGTTTATAACACTTGCCTCTGGCTGCTTACTCGGCTTGTGTCTCAATTTTGAGGCTTCAGTAATGAGTAACTATGTATTGATTTCATTTAAAGATATCCCCCTGCTTGGTCATACAATATAGGAATATGGATAAACCCAAACGTTGGGTTTAAAAAAGTGTGGGTTTGTCCATATTTGACCCATGGATTGAAACAACCCAGCATTTTTTTAGAGTGTGCACTCACTTCAAATCACATCTGAAAACCTTTGATGAAGTCATATGTGTTTGTCTATGCAAGTAATGTAGCCAGACATTGTTTCATGATGATAAGATCAGATTTCTGATGGCAAATGGGGTCACTAGAAATCATTCCGTTATCCAGGGGTTTCATTTGTCAAAGATCTCACAGAGGAATTTGAACCTGAAAACCCCAGCCAAACGTTTGATCTCTCCAGACACACTTGATTTTACTTGAGATGACTGATTTAATTCAGATGAAATAAAACCTGTTTTCCCCATGAATTACGCAATATTCAATGTTCCTTCCATCTGCAGCCTCCGACCCAAGAATAAACTCATGGAGCAAGACACTGTTTAGAGTTTATTCTGCACTGTGGCCGTGCTGAGGCTTTATTCCTCTTCTCGGACATGAAATACATCCCCATAACTTCCCTCAGAGTGTGTGTTGGGGATCCTTCACAAAACAATAACACAAGTTCACAAGAGCATTTCCCCAGGAATTGTTCCCTCCCCTCTGAGGGGACTGTTTGAATTGAGTTAATTGGAACTAACCAAATCCAGATGCTATTTTTTCAAATTGGTAGTGGAACTCACACATGAACCTGACAGAAGACTCTCACGGACCCTTGTCTTCAAGATCCAACACTGGTTTCTCTGTGGAGAATGTGGGCAACCTGAGGAATATAAAGCTGAGTTGCTCACATGTACAACTTGCTCCTTTCACATGCATTTCAACTGAACCATTAAAGGGATAGTTCACCCAAAAATGAAAATTCTGTCTTCGTTCACTCACTCTCACATTGGCGTTTTCATAAGCTCTTCGGTTTGTTCTTCTGGCCCCTCTCTGCAAAAACATATTGAGTCAGGCACATAGGAGGCTTCCATGTGTGACTGTGATGAGAAAAAAACACAAATATCCACTTAATCATGGCTGTAGCACATTAACACTCCATTTCTTGAGGTCTTTGAAACCGATAAAAGAGGAAAACAGGTGAGAGGTTGGTTTGCCAGGCTTTAGCAGCTGATTTGTCACACAGAAAAGGGTTCCAGTGCTGAGATTCAAGGAATTGAGCTCCATCTCCATATCCAGATGTGAATTCAGCCTCACACAGAGGTAGAGGAACATTCCTGTGGAAAGGCACTGGAGATGGTGAGTCACGGCTCTTACAGCCTGACGCACCCAAATGACTATCCGCGATATAGGCACGTTCAGAGAGTGGAAAACGGCAGCGCAGACTAAGCGAGAGAAATCATTTTCAATATGTTCTTGATCCTCCTGTCAGAGGTTATTGGTACAACAGGTCATACATTTAAACTTACGTCAGGTGATTGATCGCATCAAGCCTAAACATATAGGGGTAGATAAATAGACAAGCTTAAATATTCCATTCATGTCTTAGCGGCCTGCTCTGCCGTCTACTTTAAGTACATGTCTGCTCAGGCCAAACATGAGATCAGTCTCCATTTCCCATAATCAGCACCAGCTTCCTGTGGTGATACCTAAGTCTCTGCAGACCAGCATATTTTGAGTGACAGCTCTCCCTCCAGGGCTCCACCACAAATAAAGGAGATCAGAGGCCCTGCTCCACGGTTTGTTCCACAAATGAGCCCCAGTGAAACTCTTTAACACACTTACCCAGCAAGCTGTGAAGGTTTGCATGAACACAATGGTGAGAGACATGTCTAAATCCGTACCAGGATTCTTATAATGGCATATCACACTGTTATGTATTCTCCAGCAAGTCATTCTCTTTCATCCAGACAAAAGGCTCTGTGGCAAAAGGGAGTAGAAAAGCTTCTAGGCTCTGCCGAATTCTGTGGAATGGATTTTCAACGTGATAATGTGTTAAATGAGGCTGAAAATCCTACGGTATTGGTAGCTGAAAGCAAAATCAAATTAGGCTTAGTTATGTTATTTTTTGATGGAACAATTCCTATAACCCAAACCAGTGTCCAAATTGTAATACAAGCCATCAGTGCTGAACTAAGGCCAAACCTTTCCCCAGTATCTCCCATATTTTGCCTCCCCAATACGAAAAGAATGTGGAAAAAATCTGGCAAACGGGGGGGGGAAGGCATGTCAAAAATGTATTTAAAGGCACTATTTGTAGGATTTTTTTATTAAAATATCCCAAAACCACTTGCACAGTGTTATATATTTCGTTTAATTGTGTACTTTCTTCAAAGAATTTGTAAAGTCAGAGAAATGTACCATTTTTATAGTCCCCGTCTCTTGTCGCCTGTCAATGACGTAATATTTGCGGTATCCCTGGTTTCCGCTTGTACTGCCATAGTAACCATGGCAACAGACGTGGACAACTGCGCAACATCTAGCGGCATGCTGTTGTTGTTTCTTCAAACATTATGGACCATGGCAAGCAGAATTTGGGACAAAAGGAGAAATAAATCGAGGATCAGTATCGGCATGGCGTTTTTGAGATGCTGAGAGCTTCGCGACAAACTTCAAACTTGACAGAGATGCTGCTCTTACGCTTTATTTGACAGGTGAGCAAATATAACATAAAACAAATCAATGTTATATATAAGCTCAACATGATGAAATGTTAGTATATCATCAGTATGATATTCTAATGTTGATCTAGCTTACTGCTAGTCTCATATAGCCAACAAAACTAACACATAGAATAACATTATAACATTCAACACACTCAAATGCAGTTTAATATGATAGTGTAGACTACTGTAAGTGAAACAGCGCTGCATTACCTTACAATTTGAATTTGTCAAATAAACTGACCTGTATGAGTAGTAATTCAGCATTTGCAGGTAGTTCGGTAGAATGAAATATCCTCTGTGGTGTTGATATCAGTCTCTCATTAGCAATCGCGCCCTGCTTTATACCATTAAAAAACATGAATGCATTCACTCATCCATAAACATGATTTCCCCATAAACATTATTAGATCCAACGGCATGACGACAAGTTCCATGATTCCGCGCTCATTCACTGTGTCATCAATCTACGTCTTTGTTATTGTTTTGAAGAGGTTAGCGACCCCTAGCGGCGAAAAAATACATATTGCGCCTTTAATATTAGTAGATAAAGTAAGAAAAATAATTAGAATATATAAATAATAAGATTTTTTAAAAAGATTAGGTTCCAATAGATCAATTAATATGATTGAAGATAAATTATGTATCAGTGATCCGATGCGCTTTTTAATTTATGAACATTCAACTTCAACAATGCTTTTGGGAAACATGTCATATACTTATATGCTACTAATACAGTGCTTTGGGAAACCCAGCATTGTCCAAAATATCTAATAAATGAACACTCAAGGGCCAGTGTAGAACTTTGTGAGCGTCACACATTCCAATTCCTCAGAAATTCACATAGCATGGGCCTAGTTGTACCTTAGAGAGATGATGCAGCTCAGGGGATGCGTCTGTGAAGGTTTTCTCTCTTCTCCTGGATGATGTGTCTAGACCGTCTCCTTTGCATTCCTAATTGGAACATGGCTGGGACCTGCTGTTCTGTCTTGTGGACTGTTTAATAGCCTTCATAAAACCATCAGCACTCTTGCAAGTTCTGTATGCTAGTCTAAACCATCGAAGCCAGCCGAAAAAGAATTGGTTTTTTATTTCTCTTTCTCATACTTGGCTGTTTTTGAAAATCATAAAAAAGCATCTAAATCTATGAAGTGATTAATATAAAAACATTCTGCCAAACTTTTTAAATTGTTCAGCAATCTAGAGTTCTTTTGGGTATTGTTAGCTATAGCACAAACTGTTACAAACAGATTTACAAGCCTGGAAATACTCTAAGCTCATATATTCACAAATAATCAGGGCCCTGCAGGTCACAGGCTTGTGAAAGGTCCAAATATCTAAAAACAGACTTTGCCAATACTTGATGCCATTTACTACCTGCATGAAGAGTTCAGTCTTTGGGTCAAGCTGTACTGGTTAATACTAGCTCATGGAGCACATCATAAATCTGGGATGGTGAGAATCTCCTTTTGTGAGAGGTAGACAGAGACTTTGTACGTAAGAGCGGGAAGACAAGTCTCACTCTACAATTCCAGTTATAAAATCTCAGACATTCGCAGGTCTGAGGCATGAAGTATGAAAGATGTACGACCTACCGGCTTTTCCTTTTAATCTCTTATGCTGTAAATGTCCAAGGAGAGAATCCTGGAAGAAGCATGGGTGTTCATTAGGTCATAGGTCATTGTCTCATTGTCAATACTTTTTAATTAACCGTTAGTTGTACATCTTTTCAACATCATCTTGACTGGTCTTTCAGTTTTGTTTCTCTAGTAATCAAACACTAAATCAAGGGCTGTGACCTCGACACATTTCTCACAATTTTTACATCATCCATTTATAACAATGTCTTTCATGTTTAATTTATTTAAATGAAACACTAAGCAATGAAACCAATCCTAAATGCTACAAGTGAATTTAGGCATCACATTTTAATATACAGTATGAAAATGGATATTTATTTAAAAATTAACAGTGCTATTATTTTAGTAGTGTTTTTAAACATCAACTTCAGGTGAGCATTAGATGACCTCTAAAATAATCAAAATGGAAAAAATGGAAATGAACATTATATTTGAAAGAAGAAAAAAAAGCACGGTATTTAGCACAAAGTAATCCATGGTCCATAAAGGCTGCCCTTCCACTGACATCTGTTTGGATTCTAGGAAGAGTTTATGCTGGATAAACATTTATTTGGCTTGGCTTGCTTTTAAATTGAGCTTCCACCCCAAGGGGGGCGACAGCCGTGTCGGCACGTTCACCACTGTCCCTTTATGATTAGAACGTCTCATGCTCTCAGGGGCGAAATCAAAAACGTTTGTTGCCTGGTATTTCAGCGTTAAAAAAACCTGCATCTTATTCACAAAATTCCCTCTTTAACCCTCTTTCATGATCCCCTGGTTTTCATGAATGTGCCCTCAAATCAAAAATAGCTTCATTCATTCAAAAATTGATGCAAGTTTTGTGTGGTTAGAGGAGGAAGATTCAAATCTGTAATCATGCTGAAGTACAGAATACTCTACAGCAGGACACAAAGATGGATTTTTCCAGCTGTCTGACAGGCGGACAGGTTTAAGAGGCAAGATGGAGATACACGCCTGCTACTTTGCCCCAGATCCAGTGACTCAGGAAAAGCCCTGGAGAGAACTCCCAAGGCTGTGGTGAGGTCCACCAGTAGAATATGATTACTTTAACATGCTGGGAGTCCCAACCCCCTCTTGAAAAGCACTTTGTCCAGTACAGGAGAGGAAACAAGACAGCAAAACCCTGTCAGGCATTGGTGACTCAGGAGAAACTAACAACTTTTTCTTCTGCCTTGCTCAATATTTTGTTTTGTTTTCTAAGGCTCTACTTTATCAACCAGCTCAATACTTGATTCCTAGTATGAAGCGTCATCCATCTCTTACTGTTTATTTTAGAGTAATCATTCTGGCATGATGTATTTCAGCAATTTTTCTCTTTTCCAACCATTGTCATTTTGTGAATATGGTAGTAAAGCATCTATTAGGGGTGTAACGGTTCACAAACATGACGGTTTGGTACGTACCTCGGTATTGAAGTCACGGTTCTGTACAGGAGGGGGGAGTAAACTAAACACAAAATTGCTTCTTTTTGTCTATTAAATAAACTTTTAATTAAATGGTTTTTTTTTAACAAATGTGTATGTGTTTAAATAAATTCTTAAGGATAAAAAAATCTAGCTAGTGCTGTAAACTATATGAGGAGCCCTTAAAGCTGCAGTCCGCAGTTTTTCCTCTTTGTCGCCATCTCTGTTCAACTTTACGTGAGTTGTACTTCGACACGACACAGCGCGGATGAACACAATGTTTGAGGAGACTGAGGCTGTCAGTCACCGCGCCGGTGTGGATACTGTCATTCAGAATCACAGATTATTCTTTTTGGAAGTATGACCAACATAAGAATTTTCACCGGAAAATGTCATCTGAACAAGCAAGTAACATCCACTTTTGCTCTTCTGACATTGCAGCTGATTAAATCTAACAATGGCTTATCATATCACGCAAAACCGTGCAAATTATACTTTGTTCTCAAATTGTTAATGTTAACAACGTCAGCATTGC